TACTGCGCAGGACCCTCAAGCTCCCAGGCCTCTGGTAGAGGACCCGAGCTTGAAGGATAAACTGCCCGCAGGGGCATGCTGGGTGTTTTATATATATATATATATATATATACTTTTACTCTGCTTTTTATAATCACTTTAAAGAAATACACTCAATTAGGTACAGCACGTCAACCACGGATGATGGAAATATATCATCAGCCAGTCACATGGCAGTAACTCGGTGTAGGTATGCTGACGTGGTCAAGAAAACCTGCTGAAGTTCAAATTGAAAATCCAAATGGGGAAGAAAGGTGATTTAAGTGATCCTAAATCACCTGGTCCACAGTGATTTTATCACGTAACCATCTTTAGGGTTTACAGAGAACATTATGGAGAAGAGAAAGTATCTGGTGAGCGACAGTTCTCTGAGTAAAAATGTTGATGTGAGAGGTCAGAGGAGAATAGCCAGACTAATTTGGGCTGATAGAAAAGTGAGAGTAACTCAAATTAGTATTCATTACAACCAAGCTATGCAAAAGAGTATCTCTAAATGCACAACATGTTGAACCTTGACGCAGATGGGCTACAGTAGCAGAAGATCACACCAGGTGCTACACCTGTCAGCTAAGAACAGGTAACTGAAGCTACAATTCGCACCACTCACAAACACTGGACAATGAGAGATTGAAAAAAATGTTTGCTCTGATGTGTCTCGATTTCTGCTGCAGCATTAAGATTTAGGGCTGAGAATTTGGCCTAATCACCATGAAAACATGGCTTCACCCTGCTTCGTATTAACAGTTCAGGCTGGTGGTCATGGTGTAATGGTGTGGGGGATATTCCCTTGGCACACTTTGAGCCCCTTAGTACCAACTGACCATTGTTTAAACACCGCAGCCTACCTGTAGTATTGTTGGTGAGCATGTCCACTCCTTTATGACCACAGTGTATCCGTTTTCTCCTGGCTGCTTACAGCAGAGTAATGCACCATATCACAAAACTCAAATAATCACTTGGCCAGATTTCATCCCAATAGAGCTGGGTTTGGGTTGTGGTGCAACAAGATATTCACATCATGGATGTGCAGCTAACAAATCTGCAGCAACTGCATGATGTAATCATGTCGATAAGGACCAAGATCTGTGAACAGCTCTTAAGGCAAAACCACTTTGTTAGCAATGTATACCTAATAAAATAGCAGATAAATGTATTACCAAACGAAGAACTTTATGAAGGATTAGCAAAGAAAATGTGGGATAGTCACAGAATTGAAGGAAGTACAGGAATACTGGTATAAAAGTCTCAGTCCACTGTTATAAATGTCTATGACTAAACAATCAAAAACAGACTTCATTAGGGTTGTCTGAGGGCCAGACATCATCTGGTGGACCCTGTACTCACTGCCCGGAACAAGGAGCCCAATTGGCATTTGTCAAAACTGGCAACCCAGCACATCATCCGTCATCTCATTTGGAGCATAGCCTACATTGTCAGGCATGCATAAAAGCAGGCAGGAGCTACATAAACTGCTAGCCCTAACCCATTTTGAGTTGCTGCAATGACATTTTGGCACAGTAGACTAGTCTGCAGCATTTTTCACTCTAATTTTCAGGGTGTCTTTTAATTCAGGATTCTGTAGGTTGGTAATTTTCATTTCCATTAATCACTTTGGTATCCTTTCATTCCTAAAACTTTACCCAGTCCATATCAGTATAGCTATCCAACAAAATATTTTCCCATTGGGATCTGATGTGTTTTCAAACTGTTCCTTCGAAGTTTTTTAACAGTGTATAACAAAAAGTGCCAAGAGAGGATATTTGGTACTATGAGTAATTGAAGTTTGTGAGGCTGGTGCAGTACATGTATGAGGACACTGAAACAGTGGTGACGTGTGCTGTAGGAATGATAGATGGGTTCAAGGTGGGGGTGGGATTACATCAGGGCTTGGCTGTGAGCCCCTTCTTGTTTGCAGTAGTGATGGGACACATTGATAGATGAGGTCAGGCAGGAGTCTCTATGGACTACAACCTTGGCAGACTCGATTCTAATCAGTAGTGAGAGTAGGGAACAGGTGGAGGAGAGCCTGGACAGGTGGTGGAGGCATGCTTTGGAAAGAAAAGGAAAAAAAGTCAGTAGAGGTAAGATAGAGTACATGTGTGTAAATGAGAAGGAGACAGGTGAATATAAAAGGAGAAGAGGTAGTGAAGACGGATAAGTTTTAATACCTGGGGTCAGTCACCCGAAGCACAGACAGTGCACAGGAGAGGTGAAGAAGAAACTGCAGGCAGGGTGGGGTAGCTGGAGATGACTGTCAGGGCTGATTTATGACAGAAGGATAGCAGCAAAATAAAAAGGGTTTGCGATGGTTGTTGCGATGAGTTTGGAGATGGTAGTACTGTACTGTACTGTAGTACTGGGCGACCGGGGGGTTGGGAAGCGCGTCTGTAACTGGAAGGTCGCCGGTTCGATCCCTGGGCTCTCTGTCCTGGTCGTTGTGTCCTTGGGCAAGACACTTTACCCTACCGCCTACTGGTGTTGGTCAGAGGGGCGGACGTCGCGATATGGTAGCCTCGCTTCTGTCAGTCTGCCCCAGGGCAGCTGTGGCTATAACTGTAGCTTACCTCCATCAGTGCGTGAATGTGAGAGTGAATGAATAGTGGAATTGTAAAGTGCTTTGGGTGCCCAAAAAAGCACTATATAAATGCAATCCATTTACTGACAAAAAGAGAGGACCCTGATCTGGAGGTTGCAGAACTGATGATGCTACAATTTTCACCTTTACACTTTAATTACACATTTTGACTTTTATGAAGTAGTCAGAGAACAGAGAGATTGTCAGTGACCCTGCTATCTTTTTGGAGATTACTTTGGAAAAGTTGAGAAGCGCAGTAAAATGGCCAGCTCCTTTTAAAGTGCTCTCATGATTGCATGAAAATTGGATCAGGGTTGCTCACATACTAATGGATAAAATCCAGTTACTCCCTTTTTTTTTGTTGTTTGTTTTCATTCTTTTTTTTCCTCCTTCGAGAATTTAAGAAAACTGTGGTATTAAACCATATTTGCTTTTACCATCAGCAGCAACTGGTGTGAGCACAAACACCAGACACAGAAACCTTCCGGGCAGTGTAAGGGCAGTCAGCGGTCACGTGTTCAGGAACACGTGTTTTGTTGAAATTCACGCGATTCACTGGTGAAACGTAAAGACTTCAGATGCCTGTCAGCTACAATATTCTCAGTAATCATAATAATCACACCCAATATGATGATTTGCTCAGCATAAAAATGAATTGTAATTAAACAGGCCTCCTCCATTCTGCAGCACTATGCTGAGGCTCGCTGACACATCTGCCTGAAAAGGCTCAGTCAGCTCCTTATTTAGCTTCCTCATTTTAACACAGCAGTCAGATCTAATTTAGCTGAAGATGTTGGCAAAGCAACAAGTATTGAGTGCTGCAGGATGGTGGATAATCATGGAGAGGTTGGTCTCTGACGTGACAGTGATTTGACATATTTGGTGTCTTAAAATATAAGATTTACAAACCTTTAAATATCAGGGTTGATTAAGGGACAGAGTCATCTGAGTTGCTTTAATTGGTCTAATTTGAATTATTTTTCCCCGTATTTTGTATTTCAGTTCGGAAGTATATAATAAATAAGTTCCTTTATGCTTCCCCACGAAGAAGACTTGAGTTTGTCAGCATGTAAATTCCAAATGAGCTTGTGTGTGGACAAAAAAAAGTGTGAAGGTGGAGTAAAGAAGCAGTCTGCACTGGAAAAGCCACACACATGCACTTAAAAGTTTCATGTGTCTGATGTGTATTTTCACAGGCATGTAGAGACAGTTCCGGCCACTCCTCCCAACCCCTCTGGGCCCTCCGGTTTCAGCCGGAAGACTAAGCTGCACAAGTTGAGGCCTCGTGGAGGCCACACAGGCACTTCCCCCACATTCCTGCTTCTATTTTCCAGGCTTAACCCCCTTCCCCCAACACAAACACAGCGGCGGGTGAATCCCTGTTGTACTTGCTTCATGCTGTGACTTTTATACTGAGTTTTAAAAACATAACAAACTCACAAACTGCTTTCCGTAGAGCTAAACAATCATAAGCCTTTTAAACCTTTAAATACAGATTAAAAAATAATAACCTGGAAATGTCTGAAAAACAGGTCTAATTATTTGATTTGTTTAAATAATTGTGAATTGCTGCAACACTCAAATAGTAGTAGAGCCAAGAGCTTTATCCACGTTTATAGGTTTAGAGCGTATGGAATTCATACGAATGTGAACAAAAAAACAGCAGTGTAGTTCTTGGATGGCAACAGGACCCCGATTGTACTCCTTGTTTGGTCAGTCAAAAGGCTTGACAGCCTCCCCCTCCTCATTCTTTAGAGCCCCCCATCCTTGGAATTGTCCCAGCTTTTGTTCTGCAAATCAGCCTGGAGGTGGAAGAGGCATGGGGGAGGAAAACACCCAAGCCAGTTTCCTGTCAGACTGACAAACACACACCCACATCCAACTTTCACACGGTTTTCTTGCACCTCACAGCCGCTCCACCCTGCCACCCATTACACACAACACCTTGGTCTCTCACTGTGCCATCTGTACGATATGATATGACAGCTTATAAACAACACACGACTTCAGATTCATATTAGATACCAAAGGTTTAATAAATACTGAGGTAGATAAAGTCATTCAAGGTTTTACACCCCCCCCCCCCTTCGCAAAAAAAAAAAAATCTTCAGTAAAAATTTACATTTGCTGTTTTGACAGCATGGTCCCCAAACACACTTGTGTAAAATGTACATAGAGTCAATTCATACAGTCTAGTTTAAGGCGTAATGATAGTCCCGCCTTTGATCAGATCAGGTGAGGTCATAAATTAGATCACAAGTCACTGAGACCTCGCACGGTGGGCATGCTCCGGGGCTTCCTTGCTCAGCCATGACTGGGACTCTTGGGTCATCCATCCAAAGCCAGTCCCTGGAGCAGGTATAGCCTGCGAAATGGACACGTCCAGACATCCAGGCCTTAAAAAGTTCACTGCCTTTAATTTCAGCAAGTCTTCAACACGCTGCGATGGCTGTCTGCACGGGAATGGGGGTTGGGGCTGTTCGCAGTTCACTACTGCACTTCACATAGTCACTCAAAACGGAGCTGACAATGAGCTGCTGATGACAGTTCACCTGCTCGAGTTTTGCTTTCTTGCAGGGCAGAAAGTCCGGTTCAGCAGCCGCTTTGCCCCGTCTTTTCCTGGAGTGCTGTGCGGGGCCGGACGGGCACACATTCTCCTTGTTTTCCGCGCGGTTGTGCGCGTGCGGCGCGCAGCGCAGCTCCGTGGATGAACCGGCGGTCCGTGACTCTTCAGCTGGGTGAGAAGCGGGACTCTGGAGCCCCTGAGCGGCAGCTGGCCTTGTGGTTATCACATTAACAGCCGGGTGTTGTGGTTCACATGTCGGGGCGGCACTTTGAGCTGTCGCCTGGGCCGCATGATAGATGTCCCGGGCAGATTTCATGACCAGAGTGAGCAGGAGACTCCGGTGAAGACGGAGACCCCCTCGCTGGGTGCGGGAGCTGTACAGTTTCCCCAAAGCCACGACCATGATCCTCTTGGCCTCTGCGCTGACCTCCATGTCACGGCTTGTTTTGAAACTACTCCCAGACAAACAGTCAAAAGGTTTGTATATCCCGTGTTTCCCCCTCTGACTTCACACAGACACGGACGAAACGCGAGACAGCTATTTATCACCTCTTTGACGTCACTCAGTGCAGCGTCACACGACAGAGGCCCGCCCACCGGCCTCATACCCGGACTCCTGTTTCAAACAGCCGTGCACCAGCTGGTTAGACAACTGTAGCTATTTTAATCCTCAAAGATACACAACAAGCTCGACTATTTACTGTAAGCTGCAAAACACACACACAAAGCAGAAAATAACTCGCCCAGTGATAAAACTACTACAACAACGATAACTACTACTAATAATATCAACAGCAATGATTATTATGATGAAAATATCTAAAATTATTCAAAGTCAGCTTTATTGTATCTAGATATAATGAAAAAATAATGTAAAATAGCGCGCTAAGTGAATATGAGCCATCAAAATATACATATGAATTACACATGATATAAACCTATATACAGTAAGTGTCCAAGGTATATACATTATTGCAGATCTTTGTAGAGATATATAACACATAAGTGAATTAATGGAAAAGAGAATAAACAATTTCTTGAAAAGGCCCTTTTCTGACATCAGTTAGTACCAATTCATAAATAAATGTAAAAATTGGAGTCTGGTTGTGTTTTTTAAAAGAGTCAATAGTGTCTCTTTTAATGACACTGTTCATTTGCAACAATGCGGGTTTTTATAATAACAACAACAACAACAACAACAA